CACGGAGAAATTCGGGTGTAAGACCACACATGAAGGACGAGCAGCAGAGCTGAGGTGACGGCGCTGTCTGTGTGTGCCGCTCCGCTGAGCCCGACTGTCCCCACCCCGCGGGTCCTGTCCCCTCCTGGGCACTGGGATGAGGTGACGAGTGTCAGGAATTCAGAGAGCAGCCCCGGCTGGAGCTAAGGGAGGCTGCTGGACGCGGTTTTGCTGACACTGAGCTTAGCTAAGCACCCGTCTGGACAGCGGATGAGGAATAGGGGAGAGATCAGGCAACAGCCCGCAGCTTTTTGAAAGCCTGACGTGCCGGTGAGGAGGAAGGGATGGATGTTTTAGGCGGTGAGAGATTTAACGAATAAAACAGTGGTGCGGTAAAAAGAAAAGTGTGATGAAGACAMCTCTTAAGGCATTAAATGGCTTTTTCAGGGGAAGGGGTGGAGTCCCGTCCTGTGAATTCGGGATATTCCAGTACAACCGTGCTGATGGAATTGTCCCTTGAGGAAGGTGGGAAGAAATCAAGGCACTTCTTTCCCCATGCTTTGAAGGAGAGCTTTGCACCATCCTGTCCTGCGCAGCAGCACCAGAGGATTGCTTGCTCTTAGCAAGTCTCTGATAATTCTAAGTGAAAAATTTTCTTTCTGAAAATGCTGAGATGACTTGGAAAGACCTCTTATTTTGGTGAGCAACACATGGATAAGGCTTCATTTATGCGTTTCCAGCCTGAGCTGSAGCACTTCTGAATTCACCCTCCTCGGGGACAGTGTATTTAGATGTAATGAACTTTATTCCCAAATTCCTCTCGGGATCTTGAACATTTTGCTCAATAGTGGACATGAATCGTTACAAATGTGTCCAGCTACGCAGTYAGCTCAGCGTTTCTCCCAGCGATACAGATTTGCTGAGGCTACTGGAAATGCKCAGCTGGATTGGGAAATGCAGGAAGTAGCGTGTGGCTAGGCAGCAGCTTAGCAAATCTTGCCAAAATCTCTCTGGCTGCCTGGGCTTTTCCTCTGTATTTTTTTTTTCCCCTTTCATCTTCATTAACCTTTTATTACTCTGTCTGATTACCGCAGCATTCCCACCATTTCCTACCGAAATGCCACTCTAATAGCTTTGTTATGGGCAGCCAATATCGACGCTGGCCATCGCAGGGTTGTTAACTTCTAAGAGAGTGATTGAGACGGGATGGAGCTGTCTGGAGCGATGCTGACTGTCAAAACCACCGCCGGGATCGTGAGGAATGCATGTCGGAGGGGAGTGGGAGGAGGAATGCATGTCAGAGGGGAGCGGAGCCCGTTAGCAGCAATCTCTGTACGAAATTCACCTCCGTGGGTCTCCCAAGATCGCTGATAACGCCGTGAGAAATCCAACAGCTTCTGGAACTCATCGAACCAACTGCACAAGTTTGAGGCTTTGTTCTTTCGCAGCTGATATTTGGGGCCAAGTTTAAAACGACAACAAAACCAAAGGAGCTCTCTCTCAAAAAAAAAAAAAAAGTTCCTGCTGAAGAGTTTGGAGAAGATGCTTGTCAGCTGCTGGAGCCTTTGTGAGCCTGGGTGTGGCTTTTTTTGGATATAACTCAGAAATTTCCATTGTCTAACAGCAGCTAGCTAAGGCATTAAATCGTCATGGATCACATCTTTTTCATCACACATGCACAAACCTGGAAGATTAATTATAGTCCCCTTTGTAAAACTTGGTATCCCAAGTGATTAGGGAAGAAATGAATCAAGAATATGAATTTAAGTACCTAAAAGCGACACAGCCATAGCTTGACTTGAAAGAAAACAGCTGCCAAGAAAAACAGTAAAGCAAAAATGTGGAGCAGCCTCTCCAAGGCTGGGRGAAGGGAACAGGGTTCAGGATGGTCCCAGAAGAGAGTTTAGACTGACCTGAGGCCTTGACACTTTCAGATGGGATTTCATAATCTGTCTTTTACTGAGCTGGGAGAAACTCAGGGGGAATTTCTGTAAGGAACAGGCCGGCTAAACTGTGCAGGAGGTGATGTTWTCCCTCTCACTTAGGACTCAAAAACTCCTTGCCTGTTGGTGATTGCAGCTTTACAATAAAGRCTCAACGGGTCTCTGCTGGTGTTAGAGGGAAAAGAGAGCATCCACATCCAGGAATGTATGCAGCATGTTTTGTCTTTTCTTATCCCTGCTGCACAACATCCTACGAGGTTTTTTTTTTTTTCTGCTGTGCCTGTTGAGGGCTCTGTGAGAGGAGATGCAGTGAGATGTGAGAGGAGCAGGAGCTCTCCCACAGAAGGTGTTGGTGCTGGCAGAGCACACGAGCTCAGTGGGTGCAGCAGCAGAGGGGTGGACGTGTGTCCTGTCCCCAGCCATGACAGGGAATTTCAGAGGAGGAGCTGCAGCTGCGTGGGTGGAAAATGTGCTTTCCTGGCTGAGGTGAGTCACTGCAAGGCGCTGTCTGTGCAGGGGCCATGCTCCACGAGGAGGGGGAGCACTGAGAGAGGACCACAACAAATGATGAAACAAAGCCTTATCCATAGAATTGTGGGATCATGGATGGTTTGAGTTGGAACAGACCTTCAAGACCATCTTGTTCCAACTCCCCTGTCATGGTAGGGACAGCTTCCACTRTCCCAGGCTGCTCCAAGCCCTGTCCAACCTGGCCTTGGACACTTCCAGAGATGGGGCAGCCACAGCTTTTCTGGGCACCCTGTGCCAAGGCCTCAGCACCCTCACAGAGAAGAATTTCTTCCACACATCCTATCTAACCCTGTCCTCTGTCAGATTGATGCTAGAGCATGAGGGTTTGGTCTGGTGTTTACTCTTTCTGGTTTTGTAAATATTTTGTAACTACATCTCACTTTCTGACATCTTGCAAGGAAAGCCTTTAGAAAAGCTTTAAAAATGGAAAACTACCTCAAAACACAGCCTTACACATCTATACCAGCCCAGAGGTGGTAATGGGATGTTGGCACAAGTTGTGCTGCAAAACATCTCTGGGCTCTCATAGTGCCTGGCTCTGGTGCCCCTGCTGGGACCTGTTTTAAGGCTCTTTTTTATGCTTAAGCACTTTTTGAAAGCGCCACACCACCCGCTCCTTCCAGCACTGTCACCAGCTCTGCTTTGTGCATTATGACCAAGCACTGACTCTTTGTTTCCTCYTGAACAAAATGCCACTGCTTGTCTAGAGGAGAGACGCAAACGTAGCAAAGCCTGAGTGGGAGATGTAACCAACTCCAGATGTGCTGGGAGCAGGATGGGAATGAACCATTCCCTGGGTYTGCCAGGGACAGGAAAGTGTCTGGGCTTAAGCTGCAGTGAGGAACATCCAATTCCACAAAAAGCTTGGAAGGGTGAAAGGAGAGAGGCGAGGGAAGCAGTTGCTCAGGAAGACAGGAATTTCAGCCAGTGGGTATTTTTAGCACTGGGTTGGGCAATAAACTGTAATTTCACCCTGCCTTTGGGGGATGAACCAGGAGACCACTCGAGGTCCCTTGTGACCCCATTTGATGAATTGTGTTGCATTTATCTGTTTATGTAGCATTTAAAGACTCTCTTTTGGGGGTTTGTGGGTGCCTGTCCCTGCTCACAGGGATTTGAGTGAGGGCAGGGAGCTCACCGTGTGACCGGACACTGATGTATCAGAGTGCTTATCAGAAYGATACACAGATAAGGGAGTTATGAACCTCTCATTTTAGAGAAGAGAAAGGTTTCAGATGTGTTTCCATGAAAAGCAGCAAGTGGGGGGAAGGACTGGCAGAAGTCCCACACTCCCTTCCCTCCCCTCTCCCACCCTCATGTTCCCAGGGCTTATCTCCCCCCGGCTCCAGGACTGGTGGGATCCCTGCAGGAGCTGATAAAAGCCACAGGGATGGGGGAACACCGACCCAGCACGGGCACAGGGATGGGGGAACACTGACCCAGAACGGCCACAGGGATGGGGAACACTGACCCTGAGTTAATGGGCTGAGGTGGCTTGGGAATGACCACAGAAATCTATGATGTGGCAGAGATTTTACCTACACAATTTCCTCTTTGCGCTGCCTTTTAGGAGGAAGTAATGTCAGAAAACAGTGTTTTGGTTGTCTCTACACCAGAAGGTCCCTCGCAGTTGTGCYGTGCAGTAATTTGGACAGGTTTTGTGAGCGGCTGGGGTGGGCTGTGCTCCTCTGTGAAGCTCATCCCAGCAGTGCCTGCTGCCAGCTCTGCGCAGAGGTGCCAGCCGAGCTCTTGCGAAGCACTTTGGGATGGAAATCACAATCTATATTTGTAACACATCGGCCTCCTCAAACACAAAGAACAGAAAAAAAAAGAAAAGAGAAGAAAGAAACCTTTTTTTCTTCCTCCTGGGAGGAGCTCTTATCTGATTGCCGAAGATCGTTTTAGCGTCTGCGCTATTTTTGTAGCTGGAAGTGCAGTCTGCTMAAGAGCAGGCAGCGCTGAGAACCTCCCAGAAATTCATTACGAGAGTAGGAGGCCAAAAGTTGAGCGGGGACGCGGAAAGGAAAGCAAACAACCGCCCGCTTCTCTGTCTCCGAATTTGATCTCCCTCTCTGAAGTCCCACCAGCCGTATGGCTCCCGAGCTCAGACAGCTGGGCTGGAGCAAACAGCCTCCACACAGAGGTCTGGGGGGCAGGATAGAGTTACCTGAGCATCTTCAGCCCATCGCTGTCTAAAGTGTCGCACTTRGTGTCTGCTATCGACTTTCAGGGTTTGGGATCCTGATGGCCATCAACCCACAGAGCTGAATCAGCTCCTGGCCTTTAGAGGAATGATGGTGCAGAGCTGCAGGGTTCAAACCTTTCACCAATTCCCTGCTCCTGCCTTCCAGGTTGGCCATCTGAATGCATGAAATGGTTATTTCCAAAGGGAAATGACTCAGGGAAGTGGACCCCTCTGTGCTGCTGTTCCAAAAGGGTGAGGGGTGCTGGGATAATTGTGGGATTCCAGGCTGCTTCACTCTTGTTCACTCAGGAAAAAAAGAGAAGAGCTGACAATTTTTTTTTTTTTTTTATTTTTCCACACAGCATCTGAGGACCACGTGATCAAAAAATCCTACAGAAGGTGGTTTCTTTTTTTCCCATTTTCCTTTTCCCCCCTTTTTCTTTGGTTAATGCACAATCCAAAGCACTGATCTCCTGGCATATGGCTGCTGACAGGTGCCCATCTGCTCCCCGTGGAAGCCCATCTTCCCTGCCTCTCCTTTTCCCCAAGCAGAGCAGGCTGTGTGCTGCTGGCACAGYGGAGCGGCTCCGCCGGGAGCTGCAGCCGGACGGGATGCGGGATGCAGGATTGCATCTCCCCGCAGATGGTCCTCACTCTGCCGGCACCTCTCGGCCTCGCCGGTGTCGGGAATGTCGCTGTCTGCCTCTCCCGAGCCCGCAGGGAAAGGGGRAGAAGATAAATCACACCTCTGTGCGCTCATCACACACGGGGATTTTTGTTGGGAGCGGGAGGTCTGCGAGTTGCCGGCGGGGAAGTGGTTAAAATTTTGATAGCGTTWCTGTTAAGCCAGGAAAAGTTTGACCTCTGCCCGTTCTTTACTTCTGACTGAATTCGGGAGATTATGACAACGGCTGTGTAGGCGTGTTCCCAGTGTTTGGTTTCCAAAAGATGGAAATATCATCTCCCCCAGCCTTCAGTGGGTTTAGGAGCAGGAGCAATCTTGGCGCAGGGAGCAAGAAGCCCCCAGCTCCTGCACCCCAATTCCTTCTCTGCATCCCCCTCACTCCATCACTGATTGCAGGGTTTGCCAAATTATCGGCAGCGTGGAAGATGGGGCAGGAGGCAAACCTTTCTGCGCCGTGCTCTCCCGCTGGAAGTGATTTATGGCATTTTGGGGGTCACGGAGAAGCCAAAGGATGTGCACGCTCTTTCCCTCCCTCTTTCCCTCTGTGTACGCACAAATATCTATGAACGCCGCTACTGCTGGTTTCTGAGCGTATCAATATTTGTTTAGCCCAGGATTCCTCCCACCCTAAATTTGCCTGAGGTGCCTGAGTGSAGCACGGACATCCTCGGGCTCCCTCTGTTGTCGATGGAGCGAAGCACCTGCGGGAGGTGACCCAGCTCTCAGGTGAGAGCTCAGTTCATTCATTTCTGCTTTATTCTGTGCCTGCAGGCAGCTGGGAGGGACCGGGACCCACAAATCATCCTGGGTGGGGGACCCCCAGCCGGGCTCTGCTGCTCCAGGCGTGGCACAGAATTGGGGTAGGGAGGTGGCCCTGCCCATGGAYGGTGGGATCTGCTGGTGCAAACTCGGGAGCAGCAGGCACAGAATCCCGGAATGGTTTGGAAGGGACYTTCAAGATCATCTCATTCCAACCGCCCTGMCAAAAGCAGGGACAGCTTCCACTGTCCCAGGGTGCTCCAAGGCCTGTCCAACCTTGCCTGGGACACTTCCAGGGATCCAGGGGCATCCATAACTTMTCTCTGGRCAGCCTGTGCCAGGGCCTCCCCACCCTCACAGGGAGAATTTCTTCCCTGTATCTAATATAAACCTGTCTTTTGTARGTCTGAAAYYAKTYCCCMTTGTCCAGTTGSTAYCTGYCCTCATAAAAAGTCTCTCTCCAGCTCTCTTGTAGACCTTGCAGGTACTGGAAGGTTCCAGAAGGTGCCCTCAGAGCCTTTTCTTCCCCAGTCTGGACACCCCCWCTCTCTCAGCCTATCTCCAGAGGAGAGGGGTCCTTGGAGCATCTTCATGGCCTYCTCTGGCYTTGCTCCAACAGTTCCAYGTGTTTTTTGTGCTGGGGKTCCCAGAGCTGGACACAGCACTGGGTGGGCTCTCGGCAGAGCAGGGTGCAGGGGACAGTTCCYCTYCCTCACCCTGCTGCCCAYGCTCTGGGGATGCACCCCAGGACTTTCTGGGCTGCCAGAACACCTGGCCASGTCAWGTCCAGCYTCYCATCCACYARCATCCCCAAATCCTTCTCCTCAGGGCTGCTCTCAGTCCATTCTCTTCCCATCTTTTACCTGGGATTGCCCTGCCTGAGCTGCAGGATCTCACACTTGACCTGGCTGAGCTTCATGAGGTTTCCATGGGCCCAGCCTGCCCAGGTCCCTCTGGATGGCCAGTTTAGGGTGGAAGAAGAGGAACTCACACTTGTCTGGACCAGCTGGTCAAGACTCAGGTCCTGAAAGCAGCAGCCCCACAATCCCAACCCCTGTGACTCCCCTGTCCATTGCTCCATAAGGAACAGAGCTGGGAGAAGGGCAGTGAGTGCCACTGCAGGAACCTCTGGGTGCCACCTCTGAACAAGGAACTGGTGGTGGGCACATCCTGCACTGCTCAGGGAGGGAAGATGGCATCTCCAGAGCCAGGAGGAATGAAACAGCCAGAAGAGATGAGAGATAGGGCAGGGCACACCTTGAGATGAAAGGCGCGTGGTTGGTGTTTGAGGAGCAGTGACGTTCAGTGGAGAGGAGTATTTATTTCTTCATTAACTCAGTGCCAGAACAAGTTTATCTTGAAGCACTGAACAAGTGTCAYTAATGTTTCCTTTGAGCAAACAAGGCCCTTTGATAACGCTTACCCTCTTCTGACCTTTATTTTAATTTTGAATGATACTAATTAACACCGATCTTTCATTCAAACACCAAACTGGTTGTTCCTGCTAAATGCAAAGCAAATGCTTTGTGTCAGGAGCAAAATGTGGGCAGGCTTCTGTAGGGAAACTCCAGGGCTGTGGGACACTGGCCCTGGTGTGTTCAAACAAGGGGATTTCCTCTCTGCTCCTGGGGGAGTAGCTGGGAATAACAAATCCCTCAGGAAAAGAGAGGAAGCTCTCAACAGATGGATTGTGGRGGCAGTGCTGGGACTCAGAACCATGCACACACTGTTCTTTAGGTTTTTTCCTGAAGTATTTATTTTTCAGCTCCCTTGGTGAGTGCATTTGGTGGTGGCTGAACAGTTTAGCTCTTATTCCAATGCTGTCTCCACCCCTGCTGGGAGTGCTGACCAAGGATGTTCTGCCTCTGGTCATGGGGGATGATCCTCCCTGCTCAGAGGAATGTTCATCCATCCTGTGCACCGAGCTCAGCCTGCTCTCCAGAGCAAACCTGCCCACCAGACCGGCCAAAACTCCTCAGACCTGGGCTTGGAGGTTSTCTTCACCCAGTTTTTCCAAAATATGGCAGAGACGGGGGGCTCAGTTTGTGCCAGAGGGTCTCTGACAGGTTTGGGGGAGGAGAAAGGAGATTTACTGCAGGGAGACCATGGGCCAGGGTTTTCTTTCTGTGTACAAACCATCCCTGGGCATTTTACTTGGATAACTCATGGACAGTGAAATATTTTACTGTGAGAAAATCACCCTGGTGCACCCACCACGGGGCTGCTGGTGGTGTGAAGGAGAAACTGGACATTTCCCCACATTTCCTACATTAGCTTAAGGGACAAACCAATATTTCGAGCTCCAGTGTGAAACCCTTGAGTGTCATATGAGGATGAGTAACCACTGTGGCGAGACAGATTATGGCCAGGATGTAGAGGCGGGGGATTTGGAGGTCAAATCCAACTGGAAACAACTCCACCAGGGCTTTAGTTTCCTCTCCAAGGAATGGGACTAAAATATTTCCCTGCAGAGAGTCCTGGATCTCCACAACAAAGTGCTTTTTATCTGGTTTAGATTAGATATTACACAAGACAGCAGCCTGCTGAAAGACAGGACCCGTCTATTTTGGTCAATATTTTGCACTGTCTTGCACTCTGCCATCATTGTGTGCCCACAATATTTCCAGTACAAGCAAGGGAAGATAAAACATCCCCTGGCAATGAATGTCAAGCCTGTAACAGCTTCCAGAGCTGGCCAGTAGATATAATTATGACTTTCTGTGACCAACAGCTTGGCACAGCTGAACAAAACCTCTTCCTAGACCCCATGAGAGTTTTTAGCACCCACAGAACAATCAGTTTTCCACAGCTCCATGTCTGTTAGGAACTCAGCCTGCTTTTTTCTGTGCCTCCTCAGCCTGGAAGCCCTTTGAGTCGGATTTTAAGCAGGATAGTTTAAACTTCTCCTTCAGGAGCCCCACCACATCAGAGGGCAGCAAATGAATCACGTACATGCCTTTATCTGATGGTGTGTTTTTGTAAAATGAGCCACATGCAGTGAGGAACTTGCTGTTGCAGGGAATTTGTGTTTACATAAATCTCCAACCCACAGATTTATTTTCCTCTGCCATTCCCTGTATGTAAAATCCTCATTGGGAGCTATTTAAAAACCATCAGCATACAAATAGTTTACAAACTGAAGCTGGGAAGTGGGAGGAAATGCATAATTGCAAAGGGATGTGGTGTTTTGTGGCTCTGGGGAGACCTCAGAGCACCTTCCAGTACCTAAAGGAGCTCCAAAAGAGATAGGGGCTTTGGACAAGGGCATGGAGTGACAGGACACAGGGAATGGCTTTAAGCTCAAAGAGGGTGGATTTAGATTAGATTTTAAGCAAGAGATTTTCCCTAAGTGTGTTTTTTTGGTTTTTTTTTTAAATGCAGAAAGGAAGGGTTATGTTAAATGTCCATGAAGATACCCAAACCTAAGGACATCAATAGCACATTAACTCTACCCCTGGCAAGAATGAATCAATTTATYACACATCAAGAAAATGCTTGCAGGCCTTGAATTTTAAAAGGGCTCTGAAGCAYGGTGTCTCAGATCTGCAGTGATGCTTAATTATCCTCAAAAGCCTTGAGATCAGGCCCTGAAATCCCACAGATTTATGTGATTTGGCTGACTCCTGATCCTCGCCCTGCTGTCTTGATCCAAACATCCCCCAGCAAAACAGCTCCTGTACCCTCCCTTCTGGAGGCTCTTGCACACAAGACCACACACTTGCCAAGCCACTCACTGCAAACTTGGACAGCACCASAAGTGATTTTCTCAGGCAGCCCTAATTCTCTCTCCCTGTCCATACTTTYCCCCTAGCTCTGTTTGGGGCTACCTGCCTGCAAAATGGACTTCCTTGTCTGGCCCTGCCATTGAATCCTACCCAAATCCAGATCTCCCTTTCCTCCATGTGTTTATGCTTTCCTGAGCAGAGTTTAAAAGTTCTTCCTAATGAACACAACAGCATCCTTGAGTCCTGRGTGTCCTGTGCAGATGAGGCTGGAAAATCTCCTTTGGTCACAGAGTCACAGAAGGGTTCAGGTTGGAAGGGACCTTCMAGATCATCTGGGTCCCCACCCTGCCATGGGCAGGGACACCTTCCACTGTCCCAGGCTGCTCCAAGCTCCATCCAACCTGGCCTGGAACACTGCCAGGGATGGGGCAGTGACAGCTTCTCCAGAAAAACTGTGTCAAGGCCTCCCCACTCTCACAGGAAAGAATTTTTTCCCAACATCTGATCCACCCCCACCCTTGGTCAGTTTGAAGCCATTCCCCCTTGTCCCATCCCTACACATCCTTCATGGAACAACCTCCCCCACCAGAACTGCAGCAGTGAACCCCTGTTCCTGCATCACCAAAGGAGGACAATGCTGCTCCCATGCCCTTTCCTGGTGGGGTTCCATGCACTCTCTTGCAGGACAGTCCTGCCCCAAGAACACTTCCCTTCCCAAGCCTCATGCCAGGCTCAGCTCAGTTCTGGGAAAACCCTTTGGCTTGGGCAGCTCTRATGCAGGATGCTGAGCACATCTGGAGTGCTGAGAGTTGATCATCATCACCCCCTTAACCCTGAGAGGAGCTCTCTGCACTGCCCCAGGTTACTCTGTTCACCAGGGTGCTGCAGGGGAGAGCAGCCTGTGCTCACAGCCATCATCAAAGGCAGGCACACGAAATAACTGGGCTGCACTGATGGGTTGTGCCTGTTATTATCATTACAGAGGTGCCCGGGGCTCAGGCTGGGATCAGCACTCTTGGTGCCATGCAGGTGCTTGGGGAAGAAATCAGGATGCAATTTTAGCAGTAGGTAGTTTAMATTGGGGTTTTGTGAGGGGCTGATCCTGCCCTGTGTCAGGTTGGATTGAGGTTTTCCTGTGCCAGGAAGGATGTTATTCMAAAGCCAGCAAATGCTGGAGTTGGCAGCAGGATGGAGGAGTCCTGACTCTCCCTGATGGGTTGGAAAGGAAGCAGAAAGCAGAGACCAAGGGGGGTTTGCTCTGCTGGGATGAGATCTGTGGGTGGTGGGGTGGTGTGGTGACTTTCCCAGGCAGAACAGCTCAGTCAGAGCATCTCCAGCTTCACCCCCTTGGGGCTGGGCTGCCTGTTTGAAAGGAAACCAGAGAACCTGTCCCATTCCTGTGTGTTTGAAAGGAAACCAGAGAACCTGTCCCATTCCTGAAAATGCTCCAGGCCAGGCTGAGTGGGGCTGGGAGCAACCTGGTTTGGTGGCAGGTGGCTGAAGGTCCAAGGTGGGTGGAACTGGGTGGATTTGGAGCCTCTTTCTTATACAAACCATTCCATAATTCCATGGAATCCATAATCCATAATCTGGTTCCATGAAACCAGAGGATGAGCAGGGAGCCCTCCCAGCAAAAGTGCAAAGGAAGTGAAGATGAGCCAGAGCAGAGAGGAGAAAAGAGGGATGAGGTGAAACACTTGAGCTCAGTCATTCCTGTGGGCAGTGTTGGGGCAGTTGTTTGCACAGGATGCAGCMGGGATGTGTCCCAGCAGATTCTCTGCCCTGCCCTGCAGCCCCCTCAGCAACAACTCCAGCGAGCTGAAGAGCAGGGAATCCATTCCATGCCAAGCAACAGGGGATTCATCTCTCCAGCAGCCTCCTGAGTGTGTCCCAGACACCCAGGGGAGTGTGGATTCAGCAAGAACAGGGGTCAGCCCAGCTTCCTGCAGTGCCGAGGCAATCCTTTGGTCACCACATCCAGATGGGAACATCTCAAGTGTTGCAACAGCCCGAGGGCAACTGAGGGTGAGAATGCCAAGGAATGTGCTCAGCRCTGGATTGATCTRTGCTAGGGAAAGGGATGAATTTRTATTWAAAAAAAAAAGGCAATTTGGGCAACAGGCCTTTGCTTGTAACAGGATGAGAGGGAAAGCTTTGAAATATCCTTGAAGGATATCACAGATCTATTTGCCTTGCAAAACAAAACCCATCCCTCTTCACTGTGTTTCCACAGCTACACAGATACAAACACACAAAATCCAAGGTTATTTCTGATGGGTTTCTTCAGTGCTCAGAGCAGGCTCTTTCTGGAGCAGAAGCATTGTTAGGAAAAGCTCATTCCAGCAGGAGTGCCCTCAACAGTGCTATTTATTGAAGCAATGCCTTTATTTCATGATGAGCTGCACTGAGCTGGAGGACATGGGGGCTTGTGATCTCAGGGACTAATCTGCTTGTTCACTCTGTGGTGAGGGAAGCARTTATTCAGGGCAATTTTAATGGTTGGAGCAGCTGGGTTGTAAATAACCCATGTAGGACYGAGTCTGATTTTTCCCTTAACAGGATGCTCCCGCAGATGTAACAATTAATCACCTTGATCAGCATTTCTGCACCAGCATTTCCAGATAAACTGAACRAGGTGTTCTTGCTCCTTCAAGGGATCGAACCAAAAATTAAGTCTGGAGGCTTAACACTTAGTCAATACTTCCCCAGAAACAGAGGATATTGAAAGAGAGAAATTACCATGTGGGAAACGTCTCTTGGACTTGCAGTCTGAAGGCCRCAGCTGGGATTTATTGGAAATATCTTGGCAGTTGCCATGGCATTCATTTTGCCTTTAAAAGGTCTTCCAGGTGATGCTCTTTGACGTTAGAAGCTCTAAGTGCAAAAGGAAGCAGGTTAATTGGGTTTCTTTGGGAGACAAAACACAGGAGGACCCAGGCTGAGAAGCAGCTGGAGCATTTCCACTCAAGGCTGCCAGCTGAGCCTCTGGATGCCCTGGGCAAGGAGCTCCCAGCTGGCAGACAAAGAGGAGGAAAATGCTGCAGAAGAGGCTGCTGTACTCCCCACATCTCTATAAAAACCATCTCAGAGGGGGCTCAGTGATCCTCACAAGGACAGAGGCACWGCAGACCTGAGAACACGAGTATGGAGTTGTAGAATCCTGGAATGGTTTGGGCTGAAAGGGAACTGGGGATCATCTTGTTCCAAACCCCCTGCCATAGGAAGGGACACCTTCCCCTAGGCCAGGCTGCTCCACACCCCATCCAAGGCCTCGAACGATTCCAAGGGGCATCCACAGCTTCTCTGAGCAGTCTGTGCCAGATTCTAACCTGAACCACTGCCCTCACAGGGAGGAATTTATTCCAAACTTCAAAATCGCTCATCTTTGAGTTACAAACCCCTTCTCCTTGTCCTATCACTGTCTGCCCTGACATGATCAGGAAGGGATRCCACATGCCATGCCACATGGATATGAAGGGTTGGCTGCAGAGACAGATTTGGGATAAAGTCTGCTCCCAAACGTGGAAGAGGCTGCTTTGCTTTGGGTGAGCCATTCCTCCCTTTCCTTCAACCTCCTGCTCTGCCAAACTCTGGCCAACTCAGGAAGCACCTCTGCTCACAAAAGGGCTGGAGGAAGGCTGGGACCATCCCATGGGAGTTCCCTCATCCTGCCCAGCCAGAGTGACCCATGAGTTTATGGTGTCAGGCAGGAAGTGCCTGCCTCTGGGACTGATRGTATCACAGCCATGTGTCACCCAGGCACTTGAGGATTTATTGGGGTGCTGCTCTCTATTTTACAAGCCTGAGTCAGGGGAAAGGGAGGAGACATTTCTCCTGATCCCACCACAGCAGGGGAGGGAGCCTGGATCCCAGGAAGGAACCTCAACCCCAGCCAGGACTGTGACAGAAATCCAAGGAGAAGGAATTGTGCCTGAAGTGCTCACATTGTCCTGAACTGTTGTAAACACCTACTGGGATGGCAGATGAGATATTTTGGCTTGGTTGTAACTTTTGGAGAAAAAGAAGAGTTGTGGTTAATGGAGAAAGAAACAGGGAGCTCCAAATGACCATTTGCCCTGTGCTGTGTCCCTGCTGCTGCTCTGGGATGCAGCAGATGAGCCAGTGTGTGCCTGGATAATCATGGGTATAAAACAGACCAGTGTGGGTGAATAGTAAGCAAAGAGAACAGTAAATAATCCCTGTAAAAGCCATGTTGTTTATTTTTTTTTCTCTTGACACTCCAGTGTTTTTTTCTTTAAAAGCCAAATAATCATGTCCRTGCCTGGGATTTTCCATCCTGCTGGGAAACATTGGGTTTGATTAGCACATTAAGTGTCTGTTGAAATTAAAATTATCAGCAGTTAAAAGATGACCCGAATGGTGAGACAAGAGACAAACCTTCTAAACAAAAACTTTTTTGTGAATGAAATGAGATGGAGAAAGGTCCTGTTTTTCCTCCCAGGAGYACATGCAGGACACTGCTCGTATTTCTTGCTTCTTCCCTCTGCTGTTGTTTCTCTTCCCACAGTGACCCTCAGATCACTTGGCCGCCACCAGACTCCTGATGGGCATTTTCACAGCCATTAATTGAATTATTGACAAGTGAAAAATGCTCYACTGTGAAGCCAACCTGCCTCGACCCTCCACCTGCCTTAGAGGAGAGAAGAGCAACGCATGAAATATCTCATTATGAGAGAGAAGGTGAGAGGAGCCTTGTGAGCAATCTGCTGGGCTCCCATGTCACTGACAGAGAGGTGGGAGATTTTTCTGTGGCTCCTGTGAAGACAAGAAGGTCAGGAAGGGCTGATGGCACCCAACAGTGCTGGCTGGGCTGGCCCCACTGGTGACACTGCAGAGCTGGCACTGAGTGGTGGCTGATGCCATTGCTTCTTCCTCGCTGGCCTCAGCTTTAACTTGTTCAATCCCCTTGGCCATGAGCAAAACAAGAGGGTTCTGTGGGTTCAGTGAGTGCCAGAGCCACGATGCCTCTGCCCCTGGAGCACTTGAGCTCCCCACAAATGCTGGTGAGACCATGTCACCTCTTCCTGACTGCCACCCTTCCATTTCTGTAGCTCCACATCCACGGTTCGAATGTCTCCAGCCCAATCCTGCAGCTTTGTGACGTGATTTTGTTTCTGCTGATCCTGGAAACTGGCTCTTCTTGCAATATTTATGGGCCTCAGCGTCGGCATCTTTGAACTCCCTCTTGCATTAGCGGAGCAGATTGACTTTCTAACCTCTCACTCAAAACCAGCTTTCCCCCTTTATTAGAGCTTTTCTCTGAACCATTTAGAGCTTTTCAACTTTCTTTTTGAAGTGAGAACCCCAGGCACGGGTATGTTTTTCCAGCAGCAAATGGTGAATGTKCTGTTCTCCCTCTTGGCAGCCCCCATATCCACAATCCAGGACCCTGTTTATTCTCAGCACTTTGGCAAGAGGAGCTCAGGGGACACCACCAGCCACCAGCCAGGCCCTTGTCTGGTGGCTCAGTGAAAATTAAACACCACAGCTATTTAATTTTGATGGGTTTGAGGCTTTGCTTTTTTTCTGGCGATGATATTGAAACAAACCGTTGTCCAATCTGTAGATGTTACCTCTGTTCCTGACTTCGAATGGAGCCAGATTAAAACAAAAACCTACAGACTTCAGAAGAGCCCAGCTGAGACCTTTATGTCTGACAATGCCAGGGTGGGTTTGGCACTGCTGTGTTGCTTTTCTGACCCCAAAGTGTCTCTCTTGGCTGATGGACAATGATATAGACTGAGAYGAGTCTGAAACTTGATTAATGAGCACATACACTACAGGAAAATGGCTTCGGCATTTGCAAGAAGACAGACAGCCTCAGGCATTTTGTGGCTTTTGACAGCTGGGAGCCATGAATGTCTGTTGTCTTTTTTTTTTTTTTTAAAAAAAAAAAAAAAAAAAAAAAAAAAAAAAAAAAAAAAAAAAAAAAAAAAAAAAAAAAAACACATTCAGCAAATGGAAAAAAAAAAAAAAAGAAGGAAAGAAAACATTACTCCCAGCTGGGGTGAGAAAAATCTAGTCTATCAGTGAGATTGTCTGGTGGCTAAAAGGCAGCTTCCTGGGTTTTGATGTTGGTGGGTTCATTCTCTGCATTCCTCCATTCTCTCTTTAGATGGCTGGGTAGATTCTTCTGAATTATTTATTTTTTTTCTTTCTTTTTTTGTGTCTTCATTCAGGAATGACATTTGAGCTATGCAGAGAACTTGCAGCCAAATTCCCCTGGGAGCAGAGTGCATGCACTTGGGTGCTGGAGGAGAGCAGGACACTCTCTGGTCAGCCTGGAGAGCTCAGCAGGAGTGAGATTCCACTTTTAGATCCAGAGGAATCCTGAGAGTGTAAACTGGGAACTGGGAGTCCTGGCCCAGATTCACTGCGTGGGATGGGAGGGTTGAATTCTGACTTTCACCTGAAGCAAGGGATCTGTGATATTTGCCYCTCAGCATCACTGCTGGTTGCTCACACAGCCAGACAGACCCTGCTGCTGCTCCTTGCAGTCACGAGTGCAGGAAAAATAATTTATGGCATGAAAATACGGTTCTAGAGGAGATGATGTATCATGAATGTGTCGTGCAGGTTGAAGCTGGCCAACAGATTGTGTGCTTGGCATGTCTGCTTTAAAATTAATCATTTGTTTCAGTGATATCCTGATTTGGGGTGCTTTCCTGAGTTTGGGACCTAAAACGCAACTTTAGGGAAAACTTCCTTAATCCAACAAATAAATCTGTTGCAGACATAAGAGTGTTTTCTGTTGTTTTTCATGGAGTTCTTTATAGCTTTCAGATGGGACACACCCAGAGTCCTCCAGAAACTGCGCTTGCAACAAGTTCAACTTCTGGTCAGCCCCGAAAATCCACAGAGTTTAAAGTTATTTGGGGTCCCAGATATAAAAGCCAAGAAGGACCAGCAATACTTAGTGATTACATTTGTTTCCTTTTMATAGGAAAGGATTGATTTCTCTGTTAAAAGGAGAGTATTTCTTACAGAGCAGGCAGCATGATGGACGGCCATATTCATAATATAGGATTTCTTCTCTCAGATGTGGGAATGGGCTGCAAATTCAGCTCCTCACTGCTCTTCCCTTACAAAAGGTGGAAATAGAGACTAATTTGTAAAGATAGACTGTGGTGTGTGATGGCTGGCAGACCATGTGATGGCTCCACGCTGGAATATTGCACCACAGGTCTCAGATATRGCCCCAAAATCAACCTTCTCTTGAAAGGCTGACTTTCAAGAGCAGATTCCTGTTTTCCCCGAGGTCTGTGGGATGAGTGTGTGGGTTTGAGGGGAGCGGTCCCTTCACCTGGGGAGCGCTTTTGGCAGCAGAGCCTTTGCTGACTGCTCAGGTGCAGGGCAGGAACAGTGGGGCAGAGGCTTTGCACAGTGTGAGGGAGGCAGGGGAGAGCTGGCAGGGCTGGCAGGGGGAGGCTGAGGCTGTAATTTTCTCCCTCTGWTCTGCCTCTCTTGTAAACAGCATTTCCAGCGCTCGGGAGTGGCCCGCACATGGGATGCATCCGCTGTTCTGTTGGCCAGCTCCCCCAGGAGCGGGTTCAAAGTGAAGGCAATGCTCCATCAGAGAGCTAATTGAGGAACTGAGCCTGGAGTCTGGCTGCAGAACAACCTGTTTCCTCCATCCTATTTGATTTCAGTTCCACTTGCCTGGAAAGCTCGGATCTGTGCATCCGTATGCCAGCTCTGCTCCTTTCCCCATGGCACCACATATCTCGCTGCAAATTATCAAAACCATGCTCATGCATTTCCTTGTTATCCTTTGGGTGCCTGTATTTTATATTTGCAATAACCTGGGTTGTTTTTTCCTGCAGKTGTAGCCGTGTGTTTTGCTGGCAAAGTCCAATCTTGCTTAAAGGCCATTTTTTTTTTTTTGCTTTCCATTCTGGGAGGGAGATTTTGCTGCTTATATATCAATATGATGGCTTGCAGTGTTCTGGCAAGCTGGAGAAAGAAGATAAGAATGAAAAAAATGCTGCATTTCATGACCCAGTGGCTTATGCTCTGTGTGCTTCACTGTGGACATTTAACAATCACGAGCGAAGCTCTTCTATGCCCCTTAAAATATCCACATCTTTAATGTAAATGAATCAGAACCATTTTTTCATGGTTGGGTCATGGGGCTCTGGAGTYAGAGGGGATAACAGTGGGTATATTGTATATATGGATGAAAAGAGAGAGCCCTGACACTGGAGCAGACACTTGGTACAGAGAGTTGTAATAAGGAGATGCCTAACCAGCCTCGTGTGTTTAATTTCTGTTTCACATTYGGTTTCTCTTCTAAATGCACCTGAAATGAGAGGTGACACGTGCAGGTCAGCAGGGTGCTGAGCTCAGGGTTGGGAGCTGGATCCGTTCTTGGCACTGCCACTGCTTTTCTGGGTGATTTTAAGTGAATCTCTTCCCTCTTTGTTTTCCACTGTAGCTTTTCTCTCTCACCCAGCCATACCAAAAGGGCTTTGGGGCAGGGAATGTCTGTCCCTCTCTGGTTACTCAGTGTCTGGGGCCACGGGGRTTTGCTCTTCTCTCTGTTATTCCTTCAGTGTCATTTTTGTGGGAGCCCTGACTCACTCAAACACAGGAATCAGGGCAGTAGATGGAGTTAAGGAGAAATAGGGTGGGACTGGCAGCTGTCCTTCCTTACACASCCAGGCAGGTTCACTGCAGTCAGGCTGGATTTGGGTTTGACAGCCTCTCCTCGTGGTCAGAACCCACCTCTCTGGCAGGATGTGTCACATCAGTTCCCTGTTTGCACCAGGGATGCTCCGTCAGCGCTGGGTGCTGCAGAGCAAATCCAGAAATGCTGTGGGGGCAAAGAGCCCAGCAGCCCCACTGCTCCTGGCTGGAGGTGACACTTGCCCCAAAACACAGTTTGGCCCTTTTGTCTGACGAGGGAGAAGCCATAAAGAATGGTAACACAGCAATAAAACTACAAAATTCACACAAATGCCATTYTTGGAGGAGCAAGTGGTGGACCCCGGTGGTTCAGACCAGGTGGTTGCTGCCTTGCTTTGCATCCCATCCCACACCCCAAAGGGCTGCTGATCCTGCAGTTCCCTGCAGGGCTCTCTGTGCTTTCAGGAGCTTGTTGGGTCCCTTAAGAAGAGCAAAGCATTTTTTCCTGAAGGTCATGCTTTCAGTGTGACAGCAGGAGAAGCTGTGTGTAAATGAAAGGTTTGCATAAAAAATGAGAAAGGTACAGCCAGACTGGAAAGGACTTTTTTTCCTGGGCATGTCACTGACATTTCTCAAAGGTGACTGTGGTGATGAGTGTGGCAGAGCCAAATTCATGGGACATTTGGGGCCAGCTCTTTATACCAGTGATATGTAAGAGGATCTGAAGTGCCCTGGTGGTTTTACGGAGCTGTGTATGAATTTTCAGTATGAATGTATGGATTTCATGCTCTCAATGTGTGTGGCTGAGATGCACAGGCAGCCTCCTGCATACTGATGAGCCCCTGACATTAGTATTCAGTGCCAAAAGCCAGAGCTGTTAGACGAGGAGTGATGGTGTGAAGGGGAGAACTGATAATTGATTAGGCTGTATTATAATATCGACAGYCCTGACCCAACTCCCTGGCAAAGGACATTTCCCAAGTACAAATTTAGAGCCTCAGCACCACAAATAAGTCACTGTGGAGGGCTTGTGTGTTTTGGGTGCTGGGTTTGTCCMTGGGGAATTTGCAGAGAGGGAAACACATGATTGACAAGGGGCTAGAAAAGTCCAGTCCCAGGCTCCTGTGTCAGTCTGCACACACATGGTTTCCATTAGCAGGGCACCCACCCCTCCTTGGCACAGCTCTTGGCACAAAGTTAACTTCAAATTAAGCTCAGGCTAAGGTGCTTTTGTTGAGCAGAGCCCTAAGTACATGATCACATGCAGCACTTTGGGCTAAGAGCGCAATGGGACCGCTGGCAGTTTGATGCATTCCAGATGTTTCAGCTGAAGGTGAAATTTCCCCTTTGCCCTCTGGATTTGGGTTAAATTTTTGGGGTTGGGGTTGCCTGAGGTGTTTGATATTGGGGCAGGTGCAGCGTGCAGACTGAAGGTTACTGTGCAGGGGTGCCCTGCAGCTGTGGGAGCCACAAACAGATTTCACGGGTAAATTAATTCAAACAGGTGAATGACTTTGCTCTGGTTTGTTGTGTTTAACCTTGGCTGCAGTCGATGGTTTATCTAGACCTCTGGATAAACAACAGAAAAACCCAGAGGCTAAACCAATGCGATGTTTTTTTTGTCTAGTTTTCAAACAGAGCTGATTTATAGCGGGCACAAAAATATGAGCACGTGGTTATGCTTTTTAAAAATAAATTAAAGACAACATCAGCAGTGAATGAAGCACATGACCGAGCCAAATTTTTCCTGAGCACTTTTTAATGAGAACAATAGTGAGGAGCAGCCTCTGATTTTATGATTAGCTGAGAATGGCTGCGAACATTTCCTTGACACCAAAGGCAAACACAAAGCATCGTGAATTAATATTTGCAAKGCGGCATTTTGAGGTCTCTGAGCTCAGCAGACCTGCAATAAAACAAGGAGCAGCGATCATTACTTCTGTTTGCAAAGCTCAGGGTAGGCAGTGGCTGGGGACCAATCTCTGAAATGATCTGGTTGTGGTGGATGTGATTGGGGTGCAGGCAGGGGGTTTCTAACGGGGTGGGTTCAGTCCTCGTTGGGGAGGTGGGGAGAGGAGGGCTGGAGATATCCATCACGAGCAGCAGACAGCCCTGAGACTGATCTGCACTGCGGCAATTCTCTCCTGACTGGGCAATCATTACTTGTCAGTCCCAGCTGTTACCTGGAGGACCCCAGTTAACAATTTCTCGAGGGTGTTATCACTGGTATCGATTATTTTATTAGCTCCCTGATGAATCATTTGTGTCTCAGCCATCTGAGCCTTCCAGACCAACCTCTGGTGCACATCACAGACCCTGGGAAGCTCCAAATCAGCTGCTGCAGCTTCCCAAAAAGCAGGAGGATCCCATGGGTCACCTCCCTTGCTCTGGAAGGAGCCTCTGCTCACCACAGATTGCTTGTGGCTGCCTCATCTGGCTCCATTTTTGGAGCCACCAGGCAATGCCAGGCAGGAGGAGGAGATTGTGGCTGTCCCACCACCCTAAACAGATGGCACAGCAGAGCTGAACCCCRGCCTCTGACAGCAAACACCAGGGCCCATTGTTCTCAGGGCTCCGAGAAAATAGATGGGTGACACACAGGCAGCTGCAGAAAATGTTCTCCAGGCTGTGCTTGTGCAGTGGATTAAAAAAAAAGAAAGAAATAAATATCCCCCACCCCCCCCCAAAAAAAAAAAAAAAAAAAAAAACCAAGGAAAAATGAAAGAGGACTAGTTATTAATTTCTGTTTAATGATGAGCAGTTCCTGTGGGGAGTGATGACACAGCAGAGGAGAAGGACTGGAAGCAGTTTCACATTGCAGCTCTTGGTTTGCCATATTTTTAACCCAGGATCTGCAGGAGCTTTGGGCCTCCCTGTTCAGCTCTGCCTTTCCTAATCAGTGTCCTCAGGCAGGAAAGAAAAATGAAAGAGAAATGCCACCAGGTGAAACCATTCCCACCTGGTCCTAGAAGAATAAAACTTGTTGATCTGCAAGTGGAAGGCCTACAAAAGGGGTGGACAGGGRCTTTTGACAAAGGCAGGGGGTGACAGGACAAGGGGAATGGCTTCAAACTGACAGAGGGCAGGCATAGATGAGAAGTTAG